TCGTAGAAAATACAGTCGCGAGCAGGAACAAGGAGACGACTGCGGTAATCCATGATACGCCAGGCAAGATATTGTTTTTCAATGCCGAGATGCAGCCCCCACTTAGCACGCTGATCGAACTTCCCGAGCGGAGCGGTAGGAGGACGGTACTGAACAACACACCCGAAAACACGAAGTAATTTAGTGGTACCCAACTTGCCCGTCCACAGCAAGCAGGGTGAGGCGTTGTTGGGCAGGGCCGAGGACGAAAGAAGATTGTGCAGCACCGTTGCATGGTCCATGGCGAAAGGCCAGTAGAGTGGGCCGAGTTGAGCCTGGGCAAGAAGGGCTCGCATCTTCTCTTGCAGAGTCCTGTTGAGCCGCTCAGCTACGCCACTCTGCTGATGAGCGTGAGGCAACGAAAAAAGTTGCCTTATCCCGCGTTCTTGCAGGTAGGTCGTGAACTCGTTACTGCGATACTCGCCGGCGCCGTCACACTGAAACGCCTTTAGCTTAGTATCAGACTTGTCAGAATGTTATGCTCTAGCCTGTAGTGGGGTGCTCTATAGCGAGTACAACCCTTCTAGGGTTTGCTATTTGTATCCTCATTCCTGCTAGTGAACTCCTTTTCCTTTTTGCCTAAACTGTTTCTTGCCTAGCTAGGGCTTTCCTAGCTATGGCGCCTTCTTCTACTGCTTGTCTTCACAAGACTCTCGTTTGGCGAGAGGAAGCCAGGTGCGGAAAGCTGTAAACGCAAGAAAACGGTTAGTCATGTTTCCAGTCCAAACATAACGAGTAGAAGCTTCTGTAAATGTGATAACGTAGCGCTCGCCGTTGAAACCATCCGCAGGTAAGTTGAGTATATCGCTGTAAACCTTATCCATCAGGTGATAATCTTCAGCTCCAGGGAAATGAGTCGGGAACGGCTCGTGCGGTAGGTTCGCCGCAGGGCAGATGGTGCAGGGTGCCGGGCGATTCACCGGCTTCAGTTCGAGACCGCTCGGTAAGAGTAACGAATTCTTGTCAAGCACTGCAGCCTTGATCGTGTTGTTTAGCGTAAACTGCGACGGATGACCAAGTCGCTTATGCCATGTTTCTCCCGTGGCTTTGTGACCTTGTGCGCGCAGGTAATACTCGGCGTTAGCGAAGAACGACAACAGAAGCTGATGACCATCGGAGCGGATCTGATCGAAAGCAGGTGCGACGTAACGAGTAAGATTTGGTGGTGGAACACGAACCTCAACATCCACGTACTCGCCTGGAGCAAGTACTAACTCGCCGCTTTCTTGATCGGATGCTGCAGGTACAGGTTCAACTCCAACGAGACGACCAGAGTCAAGAATCTCCATATCAGCGACGCGTTGCTCAGCTTCAGCGAGAAGACGATCATTGCGTTCAGCAGGCGTCTCGCCCCAAGTTGTTTCATCGGGTTCGTCAGCCCCCCAGATGCCGTCATCAGTCGGCATGTTCGTCGGATCACCCCAACCTTCAACAGCAGCCATGTACTCCCGGGAGGACTGAACATCATTCAAGCCTTGATCGTCGAAGGTCAACATGACGGCGGCAACCGTGGTTGAAGACGTCGGGACAACTCCCTCACGTGGAACTGTATCGTTGGTGTAATCAATGTCGTTGCGATGCTCCCAAGGACCAAGCGAGAGAATGTTATCAGAGTCGGCAGTAGTGCGCTCAGGTATGAAGCTCAAAACGAAAACACCGTTTTGCTCAACTGCCGTGCCGAGTTTCTTGTCGCCGTACTTCAGAGTGAACTTCCCAGGTTCACCGAGAAGTGTAATCCCGTTCTTCATGAGCTGTGCAGATGACATGAGGTTGAAGCCAAGCCGAGGGACCAGAAGAACTTCGTTCAGCTGAAGACTGAAGTCTTCTTCTACTGAGTCCAGAACGATACTTCCCATCCAGTGAGCTGTAAGCCGTTGGTTATTGGCAACCGTGACGACAACAGGATTTTGCAGACGGCGTTGATTCACAATGAAACGAGTCTCTGACGAACACATGTGCTGACCGCAGCAACTGTCAAGGTACCAAGTATTGGGACCTGCAATAGTATGTGCAAGATTTGCATAGACCTCAGGTGGAATCGGTGTGTTGAGTTCGTTGTTGAACCGGTTGTGAATCCGCTCTTCAGCATCAGGATCATAAACCGTTGAAACTGATGTCATGCAGGTAATAACTTGCTTTGACTGTGTCTTCGCAGGGTCCGGCTTCGCAGAATTCAGCTTCGCAGCGTCCGGCTTCTCAGCTTCCGGCTTCTCAGCTTCACTTGAAGAATCTTTGGTATGTTTCGATGCAGACCGCTTCCAAGATGGTTTGTCTTTCGACCAGCAGGTATCAATAGTGTGTCCTGTTTTTCGACAAAAAGAACAAACGGGCTTGTGACGTGGATTAGAATAAAAGCTGACTGTATTGTTTACCATCTTTTTCCCTCCTCGAGCGTTGTGCAGGTCCATATCCTGCTGCTCGGCGATGAGAGCGGCACAGAGTGCCCCCTCGGACAACTGTGCTTGCATCCGAAGTATAGAGCGACACTGTCGCCATTCTGGTCCAAGACCCGCGAGTAGCACCGTGTGAAACATAGCGTCGGGGAAGTACCCTCCACACTTTTGAAGTTGATCACGCAAATTTCGAGCGCGGTTGATATACTGCGTCACCTTCACGCCGTTTATCATCTGTATATTTGACAGCTGCATCAAAATTTTACTCTGGTTGACAGTGTCCTTTGCCATGTGAACCCCTTGCAGGTACAACCAAGCTGCTTCAGCAGGAGCGGTATTGGTACGAAAAGAACGAATTCCGAGCTGTTCAGTCGGTGTCAGATTACGAACGAGAACTGTGTATGCAGTCAGCGACGCCGATCGAAAAGTGGCTTGTTGAAGTGGTGACCCGTGAGATGGAAAGGGTGCTGTGCCGTCATACAGCTGCCAGAACCCCGCGGTCTGAACAAGAAGCTCAAACTCAAAGCTCCAGGTATAAAAGTCTTGACCGTTAAAAGGCATTGTCGTTTTGATTTTCGTTGGATTTGCAGAAGCAGGAATATAATTTCCGGTCCCGTCAGCTGATTGTAGCTGATAAAGTGATGGCACTTGTGACCCTTGTAGTGTTTGTTGTCCTTGTCCAGCAGGACCAAAAGAGAAGGAGTTGTTCGACCCATCACTTCCTTGTGGCATCGGACCACGCTGATAACTAGAGCCATCAATGCTCATAGGAGTTGGAAACATCTGGTTAAGTGACAAGACGGCAACATTAACACGTTGTTGAAGATTTGCTGGCTGGTAAGCGCCTTGATATTGGTAAGGTCCAGTCGGTACGAAGTTGGACTGTTGTCCCGGTTGACTAGAAGAACCAGTGACTGCAGCTGCAGCTGTTGTGGCTACTGGTGCTGCTATTGCTGCGGCTGCTGTCGATGATGCCGCTGCTGTAGTTGCGTGTACGGGCTGATTGCTCAATGGCATGCCGTACATCGATTGTTGCTGATATTGTTGTTGTTGTTGTTGCTGCAGGTGTAAATTATCTGCAGCTGGAGACGCTGTTGGGCGTGATGGGCTCGTAACAGAAGAGCCATTGTTGGACCTTGGAGATCCAGACATAGTTGTAGAGTAGGCAGGTGGAAGCTGTTATATAATCCTAAGTGGCTCTCATACCATGTTAGAATTAAACCTGTCTGAATAGGATCGTAGTCTTAGGATAGTAGCTTCCTGTAACAGTGGAAGTCTTATATGAGTGACTTGTAACAGGATCAATATCTCTGAAATCAAGTATATTAAGAAATGACAAACATATAGAATATATACTAGGATAAAATACCTATTCGTTTAATGTACCTATTAGCCTGAAACGGTACGTGACTATTCGCGATACCTACAGCTACTGCTGACGTCATCCTAGGGCGCGTAGCGCTTTGCTGACGTCAGCCTATCGGTACTTTTACTGTACTAACTACACTACACGAATTCCTTGAAGTGCACAAGTCTCGATATTATCTCAACATAAACTACCCCACTACAGCCTAGATAGACTATAGCATATAAGTTTGACACAGTATTCAAAACTACTCAACAGTTTGGGAAGGGTACTGTAGTTTAATAAATTTATTTTCATATTTTATTTAAAAAAATATGAAAATAAAATTTGGCAAAATCGATCTTGAAGGGTTGCTTCACAACCCAAAAAAAAGCCCTGGGCAATAGAGTTGTATTCATAACCGCATCGACTAATCAACGGATTTATTTTAGTGCTCAAGGTACATTGAAATCGATAACATGGTATTAAATTAGTAATAAGCACTAAAACACAAATAGAATGGTACATTCATAATACAACACACACGTCTTTCACATCATGTTAATCCATATCCCATATATTCGTAGGCCAACACACCTAGCAACATTTCCATCAAGCGAGCTCTTACAAGTTGACGCTTGTAGCATTTCTTCGAACAAGGTCCTCAACAGTTGGTCCCGTCGCTCCCCAATATAAGTTAAACACCCCATTGCTTTCCATCATAAGTTATGTTTTCTGGAAAAAGAGACGTCTTTTCCCTTCATTATTGTGCCTGCAGCGAGAGTACTGCAGCCTAAACAGCCTCACGACTAGATCCCCCATACTGGGCCGGCACCGCGACAGACCAACTTGACCCCTCAGAAGTCCCCCCTTTACTGTGCCTGCAGGGAATCCTGCAGGCGGAACAGCCTCACCACCAAATGCTCCATGCTGGGTCGACACCTGGGATCGTCCTGCATGCACTCTTTCGCCAGCACATCCAGCATGCACACCACCATGCGCTGCGCTGTACTGCACCACTCTCCACCGCAGTCCTTCTTCCTTACTGAGCCTGTAGGGAGCCTTGCACGAGTCCTGCAGCCGGAACAGCCTCACCACCAGGTCCTCCATGCTGGGCCGACTCCTCGGATCATCCTGCATGCATTCTTTAGCCAGCACATCAAGCATGCGCACCACCATGCGCCGTGCCGTACTGCACCACTCTTCACCGCAGTCCTTCTTCCTTACTGAGCCTGCAGCGAGTCCTGCAGCCGGAACAGCCTGACTACCAAATCCTCCATGCTGGGTCGGCACCGCGGGTCATCCTGCATGCACTCCTTAGCCAGCACATCGAGCATGCGCACCACCATGCGCCTTGTAGTGCTGCCGCACTCAGCGCTGCGAGCGAGGTTGTCAGTGTAGGGCTCGGCCCAGTCAAAGAGCACCTCACCGCACTCCACCACCGTCCACCATAGCTGACCACCGCAGACCGTCAGTACACTACTTTCTACTGCGTTTGTAGAGAATCTTGCAGGCAAAAAAGCCTCACCACCAAATCCTCCATGCTGGGTCGGCACCGCAGGTCATCCTGCATGCACTCCTTCGCCAGCACATCGAGCATGCACACCACCATGCGCCTCACCGTACTGACCACTCTCCACCGCAGTCCGTCCACCCGTACTGCGCCTGTAGGGAGTCCTGTAGGCGGAACAGCCTGACAACCAAATCCTCCATGCTGGGTCGACACCTGGGATTGTCCTGCATGCACTCCTTAGCCAGCACATTCACCATGCGCACCACCATACGCCTCACCGCACTGCACCACTCTCCATCGCAGCTGCCCACAGCAGTCTGTCAGTACCACTCCTTACTGTGCTTGTAGCGAGTCCTGCAGTCGAAACAGCCTCACCACCAGGTCCTCCATGCTGGGCCGACACCGCGGGTCATCCTGCATGCATTCCTTAGCCAGCACATCGAGCATGCGCACCACCATGCGCCTTGTAGCGCTGCCGCACTCAGCGCTGCGAGCGAGGTCGTCAGTGTAGGGCTCGGCCCAGTCAAAGAGTGCTTCTGCTCCGTGCTGCTGCGCTGTGCTGTGTGCTCCCTGCCTGCCCGTGAGGAGAGAGAAGAGCACAACGCCAAAGTCAAATGCGTCCTTCCCCATGCCCTCCGCCCCTGATGGTCATGGGGAGGAGGTGGGATGGGGGTGGAGGGGTGGGGAGGAAGGGAGGAGGCAAGGTGGAAAGCCGTGAGCAGCAAGAAGAGCACCACGCCAACGTCAAACGCGTCCTTCCCCATGCCCTCCGCTCCGTACACAGGGTAGGGGGACAGGGGAGGGTTTGAGAGGTAGCCGGGGAGAGGCAGAACGGAAGGCGAGGAGAGGTGTGAGAACAAAGGGAAGAGTCGAACGAGTCCTTTCCCGCACCCATCATTCTTGTGGGTGAGAGAGAGACCAGGGGGAGAGGAGGTTGAGAGGAAGTGTAAGGGACAATGTCAACTCGTTCTAGTGTCACCAATGTCACCTCGTTACAGTGTCACCTTGTTACAGTGTCACCTCATTACAGAGTCACCTCGTTTCAATGTCACCTTGTTACAGCGTCACCTCGTTACAATGTCACCTCGTTACAATGTCACCTTGTTACAGTATCACCTCGTTAACATTGCCACACAGAGCCGGAGAGCACTCACCCTTGAGGATCTTCTTGGACGACCCTTTGGCCAGTATCGCCGCCAGCCCATAGCCCGTCAGCAGAGCACTGTAGCTCTGTGGAGAGAGGAGGGAGGGAGTACATAGAACAAGCACGAGGACTTGGAGGTATGAGAAAAATGGGATGTGTGGGGGACATGGAGAGTAGGAGGCACAGAAAAAAACAAAATATGGGAACATCTGATGTGAACCGAACACTGTCAGCCACCACCATCCCGTTCAATGAACCAATCGATACTGTGCAGCTCACCGCATCCAGCATGGCATAGCGGCACATGAGATTGCCATGAACCACCTTTGTGTGATGTGTACACCCAACGCTCGTTACAAGCACAATGCGCTCTCGTTGCAAGTACACTGCGCTCTCGTTACAAGTACACTGCACTCTCGTTACAAGCACACTGCACTCTCGTTACAAGCACACTGCACTCTTGTTACAAGCACCCCACTCACCGCATCCAGCATGACATTGCAGCACATGAGATTGCCGTGAACCACCGACTTGTATGTAATGTGTACTGCGTAACACTCCATACTCGTTATAAACACAGTGCCACTCACCGAATCCAGCATGACATTGCAGCACATGAGGTTGCCGTGAACCACCGACTTGGAATGCAGGTAGGCCAGGCCCTTGGCCACACCTATCGCCACCTTCACTCGCACTCGCAGCGGAAGGAAATCACCATCCACGCCCTCTGGGACCACGCAAAGAGGGAAGGAGAGAGACAAGCGGCAGAGGGAATGGGATGAGACGCATGCGGCTTGCTTACATCATCAGCCCCTTGGCTTGGCCACTCCTATCGCCACCTTCACTCGCACCCTCAGAGGCAGGAAGTCACCGTCCATGCCCTCTGTATCGGAGTATTAGGGTGGGAGCGAGAGAGGTGGATGGGTTGGGTCCTGAGAGGGCAGCACAGGAGGTTGCCAGGCTGTGAACCACTGACTTGGAATGGAATTCAGGCAGGGCAGCCCCTTGGCCACACCGATTGCCACCTTCACTCGCACACGCAACGGCTGGAAGTCACCATCCACTCCCTCTGGAGTGATTATGAATGGGGTGAAGGGAGGAGGGAAGGGGGAGGGGAGAGAAGTACTGATCGCCACCTTCACTCGCACCCGTAGAGGCAGGAAGTCACCGTCTACTCCCTCTGAGGCCAAGCAATGAGGGAAAGCGGTATAAGGGGTAGGAGGGAATGAGTTGAGATGCATGTGGCTTGATAACGCCAGCCCCTTGGCCACACTGATTACCACCTTCACTTGCACACGCAGAGGCAGCAAGTCACCATCCACTCCCTCTGGAAAGACGGGAAAAGAGCAATCATTAGAGTGGGACAGAATGGGGAGAGGAGGGAATGGCGAGCAGCGGTAGCGGGTGGGATTGGGATGGGGGAGATGGTTGTATCCGCATAGCCCTTTGGCCCCGCCTATCGCCACCTTCACTCGCACACGCAATGGCAGAAGTCACCATCCACTCCCTATGAATTTTGAGGGGGTGGGAAGGGGGAAAGGGGAAGAGTTGAGAAGTGATGGTTGTATCCGCATCAGCCCTTTGGCCCCGCCTATCGCCACCTTCACTCGCCCTCTCCAAGGCAGCAAGTCACCATCCACTCCCTCTGGAAGAGCAGGGGGGGAAGGGAAAGAACAGAGAAGGCCATAAGTGAGAATTCTTCAGAAGTTGAGGCACTTCCGGACCTTACCCCACAAATCTCATACCCCTTGATTGTAGGCTTACAATTCAGCTTGGAATATGGTAAATTCTGAAGTAGGCCTTAATCATACCTCCTTTCAGACATTCAAATCTCAGGAGGACTCACCTGGAAAGAGGTAGTTCTCAAGGGAGGCGGAGTTGGGAGGGAGGTCGTATGCGATCTGAACGTCGTCCTTCTCCAGCGCATAGCCCAGTATCTCCGCCAGATTGGCGTGCTGCAGTGCAATGAGGGCTTGAATCTCCTTCGGTTGGATGCAGACATGTGTGAGGGAGGGAGACATGACGGGTGGTTGAGTGGGGGGGCGGGAAGTGGGGACGGAGAGCAAGGAGGAGCGGGGAGGGAGGTCGTATGCGATCTGCATGTCGCCCTTCTCCAGCGCATAGCCGAGGATCTCCGCCAGGTTGGCGTGTTGCAGTGCAATGAGGGCTTGAATCTCCTTCTGATAGACTGTATGCGGGTATGTGAAAGGGAGTGGGGCATGATGGGGAGAAGGCACGAGGGACGGGTAGAGGCGTGGCGGGAGAAGGTGTGGGGAAGGCGAATGGGCGCCCATAGCACCTCTCATACATACCCCAACACTGCTGTGACTGCTTTTGAGTCGACTCAAAAGCAGACTCAAAAACCTCTCATACATACCCCAACACGGCTGTGACATGACGTGTGACCTCACCATCTTATTCTTCGTGCTGTTCAGTCATAATTCTCAGAGAGCAGCACTTAGTTTTACAGAGCGTTTTACCGCTGTTGTTCTTTTGCTTAAGCCTAGGCTACACAACTGCTGCTCTCTGAGAATTATGACTGAACAACACAACTGTGACGTGACGTGTAACCTCACCATCTTATTCTTCTTCCCCAACGTAGCAGACAGAAACTTCTTGGCAGTTTCAGGCAACGGGGACGACGGGGCCATTAGAGGTGACTTCGTCCCTCCTCCCCCCTGCGGCGACTTCCCTCCTCCTCCTCCTCTTGGAGACTTCGCCCCTGCTCCTCCTCGTGGGGACTTGCCACCTGCTCTGCCCTCTCCCCCCACCTCCTCCTTTGTCTTGGAGTGCGGGAGCCCAAGCATGAGCGCTGCAAGATCCAGCGACCTTGACTTGGGGATTCTTCCCGGTTGCTTCGGAGGAGCTTCTTCCTGTGAAGGCTCTCTTGCATGCCCACGCTCCCTTTCGAGTTTCCCCCCACGCTCCCCCCCACGCTCCCTCCCATGCCCTCCCCCTCGTTCCCCCTCACGCTCCCCACCATGCCCGCCCCCCCGCCCACGCCCATGCCCACTCCCTGGCCGGTCTCGACTGCTCTCCCCATGTGCTCGGACATGACCTTGCCGATACTCCCCCTGCTCCTCCTCCCCATCCTCTAGCTCATCGTCTTCCCAGTGGCCCTGGTCGTGGGGGTCTGGACGATGGGGGTTTGACTGGTGGGAGTCGGGTCTCCGAGAGTCTATATCGCACTCCTCCTGCCCGTACATCTCGCGGCTCTGTGGCGATAACGGTGCTTCATACTCGCCGTCGTCCTCCTCCTCTTCTCTCTCCCTTTCCTTTCCCTGCTGCTGCTCCCGCTGCTGCTGGTGTGACTGCTGATGCCTTAGCCGCGACTGCTGGTGGTGCTGCTGCTCCTGCTGCAAGCTCCGCCTCTCCGGCCTCTGCTGTTTAGGCTGCTTCAGCTGGTTCGGTTGCTCCTTACCTCGCCTCTCCTGCTCCCTGCTGCTCTGTCCGCTCTCGCTCCGTCTGAATAACCCCCTCTTTCCTCCGCTGCCCCCCTCCCCTCTGCTCCTGGGCCTTCCTCCCGGTGTGGTCGGCGTTGTGGGCGTTGTCGGAACTTCCCCTCCAGAAACCGTCCTAGAGTGCGGAAGGAACCCTCTCAGCGCACGAGCAGCAGGCATGGGAGAGAGAAGCTGAGAGGTGCTATTTGCTCTAGACGCACCTCCTCCACCACCACCACCACTACCGCCCCTACCACCACCACCACCCCCCTCACTCTCCCTATCCGACTCATCTCCTCCCATCCACCTCCTCCCAAACCCTCCTTCCAGTTCCCCATCCTCCCCTTCTTCTGTACTCTCCACCCTCTCAACTCCCTTCCTCCCCCTCACCAACCCAGCCACTGCTGCCGGTACAGCAGACAATGGTGCCTCTGCTTCCGTCCCCCCTGCTTCCCTCCCCCTGGAACCTTCCTGTTGGCTTCCTTCCGAGCCTGATTCCGAGGGCAGGTTCGCGAGATTCATGTCCGATTTCGAGCGGACCGGCGGGAATTTCGGGCGCCAGAAATCTTTCTGGAAAACGTTTATTCCGCCCGGGATTCGCGGCGAGAGCATGGGGAAAGCAGCAGCAGAGGAGGGTCTAGGGGTAGACGCACCACCACCACCACCACCACCACCATCCGCAGCAGCATGAGCATCAGGAGAGGTGATGGACCCACTGCGTGTGTGGGTTCTGGGTGAAATTGGGGCTTTAAGCTGCTCTTTCTCATGCTGCTGCTGTGACTGCTGCTGCTGCTGCTTCTGCTGCTGTGCCCCTCCCCGTGCACTCCCCCCTCTCCCCCCTATTCTCATCTCACCAGACCTACTGGCAGTTGCCTGCACAGGCTGTGCCTGAGCGTGCGAGGAGCCTTCCCGGAAGGAGGAGGAGCGGGAGGTTGGGGTGGAGGCGGAGGTAGAAGAGGAGGTGGAAGAGGAGGTGGAAGAGGTTCGGGAGAAGGAGGGTCGGCTCGAACCTGACCCTGCTCGGCCGAACGTAGGGAAGCCTCGGAGGCTGCCCGATGCTGTGGCTGCTGCTGCTAGGGCTGGAGAGGGGGGAGAGCAGGAAGAGAGAGGGGAAGGAGAAGGGGGAGAATGGGGAGAGAGGGGAAGGGGGTAGAGGAGGAAGAGAAAAATGATGGGGTTCCTCAGACAACACAGTTTTTTTCCAGATTCTGGTTCCACCGCACACCCCACATTTTGGTTCTGAGAATTCTCATAAGTGAGCCACACCCTGCAATCAGCCCAACCACACCTTGCTGTCTGATGGATTTCAGCCGCCTTACCACCTCCCCATGGCAGGGCGGTCCTTGGGTAGGCGCTGCACACACATGGTCCAGCGCCCGCCCACCGCCTGCCCACCGACTCTCCACATTCTGTTGTAATTTCATATCTTATACAACATACATAAGCTAGAATTAGATGTGTAGCACATTTATAAATTGGAGGGTTGTTTAGTGTACCCTCCAACCACATTTTGTGGTTGGTTGGGATTGGTCCTTAACTCAACCAATCCCAACCAACACACATTTGTGGTTGCTTGGGCCACAAGCAAGCTCACCCATTAGTCAACATATTGGCCAATCGGGTAAACTTCCCTCTCATCTCTCTCTTGCTCATTGTTTGTACTAAAGGGCCTCTTGGCTCATTATTCAATTGATCAAGTCTCTCCTTCAACATGGTATCAGAGCTAATGGCTCACGCCTTCATCCCTCGGTCCTTAGGCCACCCTCTCCTCCCCGTCCCTCAGATCTAGCCTTCTAGAACGGAACTGCCATCTCTTCGCGCGCCCTTTAGGCGCTGTCCTCCCTCCCCGCGCGCCCCATAAGGCGCAGCCCTCCAAGGCACTGCTCCACGCACGTCCAGATCTGCAACTCCAGCGCCCAGATCTGCCCTCCCAGCGCCCAGATCTGACCTCCCAGCGCCCAGATCTGCCCTCCCAGCGCCCAGATCTGACCTCCCAGCGCTCAGATCTGCCCTCCCAGTGCCCAGATCTGACCTCCCAGCGCCCAGATCTGCCCTCCTAGCGCCCAGATCTGCCCTCCCAGCGCCTTGATCCGCTCTCCTCGTGCTCAGATCTGCATTTCCAGCGTCCAGATCTACTCCTCCCGCGCCCAGATCTACTCCTCCCGCGCCCAGATCTACTCCTGCACCCAGATCTGCACATTTCGTTACCAGATCTGCATTCCGCGCATCCAGATCTGCACTCAGCGCGACCAGATCTGCATCCCGCGCGACCAGATCTGCATTCCAGGCATCCAGATCTGCACTCCGCGCGACCAGATCTGCACTCAGCGCGACCAGATCTGCATTCCGCGCGACCAGATCTGCACTCAGCGCGACCAGATCTGCATTCCGCGCGACCAGATCTGCATTCCGCGCGACCAGATCTGCATTCCGCGCATCCAGATCTGCACTCCGCGCGACCAGATCTGCACTCAGCGCGACCAGATCTGCACTCAGCGCGACCAGATCTGCACTCCGCGCGACCAGATCTGCACTCAGCGCGACCAGATCTGCATTCCGCGCGACCAGATCTGCATTCCGCGCATCCAAATCTGCACTCCGCGCGACCAGATCTGCACTCAGCGCGACCAGATCTGCATTCCGCGCATCCAAATCTGCGCTCTGCGCGCCCAGATCTGCACACCTCGCGACCAGATCTGCACTTTCCGCGCCCAGATCCACTCCTCCCGCGCTCGGATCTGCCACAGGGCTGCCCTCCTCGTCCCTACCCACAGCAGCATCATCAGCGGCATCTGCAGCGACGCCAACACCAGCACCCTTCCCCCTGCCTCCCCCATAACATCGCTCCCCCCCCTCCTCCTCCTCCACCTTCCCCCACCTGCGGGACCAGCAGCGGCACCAGCAGCAGGACCAGCAGCGGCACCAGCAGCAGGACCAGCAGCGGCACCAGCAGCAGGACCAGCAGCGGCACCAGCGGCAGGACCAGCAGCGCCACCAGTAGCAGGACCAGCAGCGCCACCAGCAGCAGTACCCTCGCCCCATCCTCCTCCTGCCCTTGTTTCCACCCACCCTCGTCTCTATGGAATCGTCGGATTCTTCCGTCGACCTTGCTACTGTTGATGCACTCGAGTTGCTACCCGACAACACTGCTGCTAATTGGCACTCCTACGCTCACTCGGTCGAGGTTCTCCTCTCCTCTGTTGTGATCAGCGGCTACAACCTTCGCTCGGTTGTCTTCCAGGAAGGTGGTGGACTTCAGCCCGTGGCCCCCACCGCTCCCACTGGACCTGTCCCCACCCACCCTGGCGCCGAGCCCTCTCCCCCTGGTGATCCTCCCACCTTTGCACCGAATGTCAACGATCCGCAGAGCTCGGAGACCGCCATCCGCACCTACCGCACCAATCTCCAAGAGCACCTGCGCCAGCAACTGCGTTACGAGGACGAGAAGCGCATTTTATGACGACGCCGCTGCCCGCTACAGCAAGTACCAGGAGGACCTTGACACCTACACCGCAGACCTTGCCAACTACACCACGAAAATCACTGCCTGGCGAGTTGCCGATCGGCGCGCGCTTGCCATTCTTCTTGCCACCGTCCCCTCCTCCCTCAAACGCGAGCTCTCACCTACCTCCTCCTCCCACCTGTGGCGACTCCTCGTCGACCTTTTCGATCGGCAAGACGTTGCCACCCTCTACGCCCTCATCAAAGAATTCGGCACTCTCTCCATGGACTCCACTTCTGGAGCCACTGCCTTCACTCGCCGTGTCCTAGACCTTGCTCGGCGCCTTGCGGCACTCGATGTTGTGTACCCGGACACTGTCATCTGCTGCCACCTCCTCGAGGGCCTCACACCTGCCTTCGACGCTCACAAGCTTGCCTACATGCAGCTTCTCTCCAAGCACCGTACCCCTGCTGTAGTCGCTCAGTGGATTATCACCACCGAAGCCGAGATCCTTCGCCACTCTACCTCCACAGTCGCAGTAGCTCAGCCGCGCAGCAGCAGGGGTGGGCGTGGCGGTGGGCGTGGGGGTGGGCGTGGTGGTGGGCATGGGGGTGGACGAGGCGGATCACCGGGTCGCAGTGGCAGTGGTAGCGGCGGTGCGGGTCGCGGTGCGGCAGCTGCCTTTCCTCCCTGTCAGTACCTGCCTCGCTACGGTCCCACTCAGGGACAGCGCTGCGGCCAAACCACTCATGCCACAGAAACATGCTTCAAGGCACTCAGCGATGAGTGGTTTGCCCGTGGCAACACCGGCACCCCTCCTCGCTGGTCTGCCCTCAACCCACGCCCCACTCCCCTTGAAGTCCGTTCCTCTCCCCTCTATGAGCCTTCCTCTTCCACCCAAGCCCACCAGGCCCTTGCCCCTCCCCAGCAGCAGCAGCAGCAGCAGCAGCTTGGGAGTCAGCAGCAGGGGTTACAACAGTATGGGCAGCAGCTTCTCCTTTCTCAACTCCAGCAGCAGCTCCAGCATCTCCAGCAGCAGCTCGACCTACAGCCGCAGCTGCCCCTCCTCCCTCCTCCTCCCGTTTCCCAGCAGCAGCCCTTTCCTACCTGGACTGCCGGGAGTGCTGCCTCCGCAGCCCATCTCTCGGGTGCATCTCCAGCGCCGTCTGCAGGTGGCAGTGTGACCGCTTTCCCCTCTTCTGGTTTTGTCGGTTTGCTAGGTCAACCTGAATCTGTTGCATCTCCCATGTACCCTTCCTCTGTTAATGCAACTTCGTTCCAGTACTCTGCCTCACCCTCCTCCACCCTTGACTTCGTCCTGGACAGTGGAGCCACTGACACTGTCCTTCGTGATGCTGGTACACTGCGCCCTCTCCCCACACCCACCGCCCTCCTCGGTGCTGATAGCAGTTTTTCTATCCCCTGTCACAACACTTCCACCCTTCCCTGTCCTCTCTTTCCCTCAGGTACTGTCACCGGTCTCCACATTCCCTCCCTACGCACTAACCTCCTCTCCCAAAGGTCCCTCCAACAAGCCAATATCACCACTGTCTTCCCAGGTGGTGCTAACTACTGTGCCCTTTAAAATACTGCTACAGGTCGCCTTCTCTCTCGTATTCCCTTCTGTCCTCGTTCCCGTTTGTACACCCTTCGGATTCCCCGCCCCCCCACCTGCCAAGTCGCATCTCCCTCTCTCCTCCCTCCCCCTCCCCTCCCTCCCTCTAACCCACCCCTCCCTCCCCGCCCCCCTGACTCTGACTGCTCCTGTCGCTCCCTCTCCCACCCTACCATCCTCCTCCATCACAGGCTAGGTCACCCTAACTTCGCTACTCTGCGCTCCTCTGTCTCCTCCGGTCTCCTCCACGGTCTCCCCTCCTCCCTCCCTCCCCTCCCCAAATCCCCTGCCCCCCCCTGCACTATCTGCGTTCAGAGCAAGCTCAAGCAGCAGCCGCGCCGGAGCTCCCCCTCCACTGCTGCACAGCCACTTGACCTTGTTCACATGGACCTCTGGGGCCCTAATCCCTCTCCCACTCGCCAGGGTCATCGTTACCTTCTCGTGCTCATTGATGATCACAGTCGGTACTCGTCCGTCTCTCTCCTTCGGACGAAGGCGGACGCCCCGGCTGCGATCATCGCCTGGCTCGAGCGGGCAAACACCCATTTTGGGCGCCCTGTTCGCCGCCTTCACTCTAATGGTGGTGGTGAGTTCCTTAACAACCAATTCTCCTCCTATTGTCAGTCTCGTGGCATTCTTCAGACTTACACCCTCCCTCACTCCCCACAGCAGAACGGTGTGGCTGAGAGTCGTGTTCGAGAGATCACCAAAACAGCCCGGTGTCTTCTTGTCCATGCCTCCTGCCCCCCTTCTCTGTGGGGCTACGCCCTCCTTCATGCCGCCCTCCTTACTAACCTTTACCCTCACCCCCTTCTCCCTTCCACCACCCCCACTGAGCTGTGGACAAAGGACAAGCCTGATGTCTCATCTCTTCGTGTCTGGGGCTCAAAGGCATATGTCCTTATTCATCCCTCTGACCGCTCCCGCTCCATGGGAAAGCTTGCCCCTCGCACCTTTCCCTGCATCTTCCTTGGTCATAACCCTACCTCACCTGACTACCTTTTCCTCCATCCCCCCTCAGGTCGTCTAGTCCGCACTAGGGATGTGGTCTTTGATGAGTCCACTCCCTACTACTCCTCTCCCCCATCCACTGACCCTCTCCCCCCTCTCACCCGTCCCTTTGTCTGGTCTGACACCACCCCTCCCCCATTACTCCCTCCTCCCCCCATCCTCCCGCCTCCCCCCCCTCCGTCGTCCCCGTCCCACGGTGCCCCTCCCTCGTCTGGTGATATCTTTGACCCGGAACCTCTGTCCTCTCCGGTCTCCCCCACACATTCCTCTCCCAGTGCCCCTCCCCCCCTCCTCTCTCCTCCCTCGCCACCGACCCGTCCTTCCTCTCCTCCCCGCACCGTACTTACCCGGTACCCCCATACCAGGTCACGTGACGGTATCCTTGGTGCACCGCCCCCTGTTACCCTCTCTTCCTCTACCCTCCCCCCTCTCTCCCCTCTCCTTCACCACTTCTTCCAGGCTGTTTTGCATCAACCTCCTCCTGCAGCAGCCCCCTCTGCCTCCTCTCCCTCACCAACAGCAGCGTCCGCAAGGGCACCAGCAACTGCACCAGCAGCGGCACCAGCAGCAGGACCAGCAGCGGCACCAGCAGCGGCACCAGCAGCGGCACCAGCATCGGCACCAGCAGCGGCACCAGCAGCAGCACCAACAGCCATCCTCGCCTTCCACACCTCCCTCTCTGAGGACTCCCATGAAGAGTTCCTTGACCTCCACTTTTGTAACCCCTCGCTTCTACCCATCACATTCGACCTCTCCAGCACACCCGTCTTCGCCTTCTCCTCTGCTCCCTCCGTTTTCATCCCTACCACGTATGCGGAGGCAATGGCTTGCCCCGACGCCCCTCTTTGGCTCGCCGCCATCATCAAGGAGCTGGAGGCCTTTATCGCCAACTCCTTCTTCGTTGATGTGCCTCGCCCTCCCGCCTCTACGAACGTGGTGAAGGGGAAGTGGGTGTTTCGGGTCAAGCAGCTGCCAGGGGAGCCGCCCATCTACAAGGCTCGTTATTGTGCCAAGGGCTTCACGCAGCGGTATGCTGTTGACTTCGTCGATACCTTCTCCCCTACCGCCAAACCTGCAACCGTTCGAGTCGTGCTCGACCTCGCCGCTCGCCTAAATATGGAGATCCACTCGATGGACGTTTCTAACGCCTTTTTGCAAGGCGTCCTCCGCGAACTAATCTACATGGAGCGTCCAGCCGGCTTTCACCTTCCCTTCCCAGCTAACTCTGTCTGGCAGCTGCGTCGACCTGTGTATGGGCTCCGACAGGCCCCTAGGGAGTGGCATGCTAAGCTTGCCGCCACCCTTGCTGAACTTGGGTTTCGCACCTCCCGCTCCGACGCCAGCCTCTTCCTCCGCGCCCCCCCCTCCCCCTTCTACATCCTTGTGTATGTCGATGACATGATTCTGCTCACCGCCGACCTTGCTGAGCTGGAGAGTGTTAAGGCTGAGTTGGGTAGTCGTCTCAAGTGCAAGGACTTGGGAGAGCTGCAGCATTACCTGGGCATGTCCATCACCCGCGATCGCTCCGCCCGCACCATCTCTCTCTCCCAGGGTCATTACTTGCAGCAGGTCTTGGAGCGGTTTGACATGGCCCGGGGCGGTGCCCAACATACTCCTCTTTCTGTCGGGCACCACCTCTCTCCACCCACCTCCCCCTCAACCTCCTCCCATCCTTATCCCGAGCTCGTCGGCTCCCTCATGTACGCCATGGTCTCCACTCGCCCTGACCTTGCCTACCCCATCAGCGTCCTCGCTCGTTTTGTTGGCGCAGGCAACCATACGGAAGAGCACTGGCAGGCCGCCAAACGTGTCCTCCGGTACCTTCGTGGCACCAAGGACTATGTCCTTACCCTTGGCGGCCCCTCCCCACCTCTCCTCAGCGGCTACAGTGACTCCTCCTGGGCTGATTCTCGGTCGGATCGTCGCTCCTCACAGGGCTATGGCTTCTCTCTTGGCAGCGACCTTATCAGCTGGCGCTCCACCCGCTCCTCGGTTATCGCCCTCTCCTCCTGCGAGGCGGAGTTGTATGCCGCTACCATGGCTGCGCAAGAGGCCCGCTGGCTCACCTTCCTTCTTGAGGAACTTGGTGCCCCCCAGCGCTGTCCCACCATCTGGTGTGACAATGCCAGTACTATTCACCTCACTAACGATGTTGTGTTTCACGGGCGCTCCAAGCACATTGAGCTCCGTCATTTCTTCATTCGCGATCTTGTTCAGGCGGGGCACCTTCGGCTCGACAAGATTGACTCGGCGACCAACCTTGCCGACATCTTCACAAAATCTCTTCCTCATGCGGCTCATTCTTCACTACTTCATCTCCTTGGCCTCACTCCTCCTAAGTCATCTCCTGCCTCTTGATTCTAGCCTTCTAGCCTTATGCATGTTGGGGGGTTGTGTTGTAATTTCATATCTTATACAACATACATAAGCTAGAATTAGATATGTAGCACATTTATAAATTGGGGGGTTGTTTAGTGTACCCTACAACCACATTTTGTGGTTGGTTGGGATTGGTCCTTAACTCAACCAATCCCAACCAACACACATTTGTGGTTGCTTGGGCCACAAGCAAGCTCACCCATTGGTCAACATATTGGCCAATCGGGTAAGCTTCCCTCTCATCTCTCTCTTGCTCATTGTTTGTACTAAAGGGCCTCTTGGCTCATTATTCAATTGATCAATTCTCTCCTTCAACACATTCCATAGTCAATCAATGCGCACCTTGCTGTCTGATGTTCTTGAGGCGCCGCACCACCTCCCCTATGGCTGGTCGGTCCTTGGGCCGGCACTGCACACGCGTGGCGGCGAGGCTGCCCACCGCCTGCAGCGCCTGTGGGCCATGGGGGTGGGAGTGGGCCTCCCTTACCCTCCCACAATCCAAATCCCACGACTTACCTTGCTGGCGGATGGTCTTGAGCTGCCACACCACCTCCCCCATGGCGGGGCGATCCTTGGGCAGGCGCTGCACACACATGGCGGCCAGACGGCCTTGAGACTCTTCAACCCACACCCTCTACCCCACGCCACACAGCCGATACTCACCCTGCTGTCTGATTGTCTTCAGCCTTCTAACCACCTCCCCCATGGCGGGGCGGTCCTTGGGCAGGCGCTGCACACACATGGCGGTCAGACTGCCCACCGCCTGCAGTGCCCATGGGCCATGGGGGTGGGAGTGGGCCTCCTCCCTTACCTCCAAACAATCCAGATCTCACGACCTACCCTGCTGCCGAATGGTCTTCAGTCTGCGAACCACCTCCCCCATGGCGGGGCGGTCCTTGGGCAGGCGCTGCACACACATGGCGGCCAGACTGCCCACCGCCTGCAGTGCCTGCGGGGTGCTCGACTCCAGCAGTACAGGGTCTGCTACTGAGTCCGTGTGGCCGCTGCAGATGGCGGGGGTGGCCTGGGGGGTTGGAGGGATGGGGAAGCGAGGAAGAGGGAAGAAGCTCAGAAGGCAGTGCCTGCGGGGTGCTCGACTCCAGCAGCACGGGGTCTGCTACTGAGTCTGTGCCCGCTGCAGATGGCGGGGGTGGCCTAAGAGTAGGGGGAGGGAGCGAGAGACACAGAGGGGAGGTGGCCGTTCAATACATTCAGGCGCTCGCCTAAACCATTTGAAGCAGAGATGTCCTTCCATTCCCTTCTCATAGTATTTCCTCATGTAGTTCATCCCTTTCACCACCCCTCCACCCTCCCCTTTCCTTCTCTCCTCCCCCACTTTTCGCCTCTTCTCCCCAACGCTTCCCCATTTGGCGAGCACTCCTTTCATCCTTTCTCACCCATCCCCTCCCCTGCTTCATCCGAGTCCATAAGGAATTTCTCAATCCATTTGACCCGATGACTTTTGAGTCGACTCAAAAGTCACCTTGGCGAACACTCCTTTCACCCTTTCTCACCCATCCCCTCCCCTGCATCATGCGAGTCCACAAGGGCTTTCTCAATCCATTTGACCCCTCCCCCCATGTAAGTGTTGCATGTGTGTGGAAAAAGCTTTCAGTCGGTCAATGAATTGACTTTTGAGTCGACTCAAAAGTCAACTCTGTTTGTCGTGTGTAAGTGTTGCATGTGTGTGGAAAAAGCTTTCAGTAGGTCAACGAATGTTTTTAAATTGAAGACCCAGAGTTAAAATTCCAGAATCCAAGACAACGGAAAACATCAAGATACTGAAAATGGTAGCGTTGCATAGTGTAGTGTTAACATTTCTTTGAGTGTAAGCGTGTGTGTGTGTGGTTTTCACACTTTCCGTGGTTGGAAACTGTGTGGCACTGTTCAAAAACCTTGGACTTTTTTTAGGCGCCTGAAGAGACTGTGTGGCACAGTTCAACGACCTTGGACTTTGACTCTTGGGGTCTGAAGAGGCTGTGAGTCATTCCCAACTCGAACATCACCCAGGTGACCTGTTCGAGCACGGGAGAATGCGAACACGTTCGTGTCGTGTTCACCCTTTACTCAGGTTCAGTTGTGACTATAACACCCCGTCCTACCCTCTTCACCCCCCTCACCCACTTGTCAAGACCCATCCTTTCCCAAGCATTGTTCAACTCCTTGAAGACTTCCCCTTTCCTTGCACCTAGACGACCACCAGCCTTTCGCCCCCCCTACTTACCCGCTCCCCCCTCTTCTCACCCATTTGGTGAGCGCCATCCTCTCCCTTCCCAGCGCCATCCTCTCCCTTCCCAGCATCATCCGACTCCTTGAGGACCCTTACCCTCCCCGCCAGTCCAGGCTTCCACTCAAATACTGATTTACCCTTTTCCCTGCCCCTACCCCCGCCCTACTCACCCATTTGGCGAGCGCCATTCTCTCCCCCGCGTCGTCTGATTCCTTGAGGACGGGCACCCTGCTTGTCCTCTTACCCATTTGACCCTTTCAACTCACCTCACCCCCACCTCTTCAACCCCCCTTCATCTCACCCATTTGGCGAGCGCCATTCTCTCCCCCGCGTCGTCTGATTCTTTGAGGACGGGCACCCTGCTTGTCCTCTTACCCATTTGACCCTTTCAACTCACCTCACCCCCACCTCTTCAACCCCCCTTCATCTCACCCATTTGGCGAGCGCCATTCTCTCCCCCGCGTCGTCTGATTCCTTGAGGACGGGCACCCTGCTTGTCCTCTTACCCATTTGACCCTTTCAACTCACCTCACCCCCACCTCTTCAACCCCCCTTCATCTCACCCATTTGGCGAGCGCCATTCTCTCCCCCGCGTCGTCTGATTCTTTGAGGACGGGCACCCTGCTTGTCCTCTTACCCATTTGACCCTTTCAACTCACCTCACCCCCACCTCTTCAACCCCCCTTCATCTCACCCATTTGGCGAGCGCCATTCTCTCCCCCGCGTCGTCTGATTCTTTGAGGACGGGCACCCTGCTTGTCCTCTTACCCATTTGACCCTTTCAACTCACCTCACCCCCACCTCTTCAACCTCCCTTCATCTCACCCATTTGGCGAGCGCCATTCTCTCCCCCGCGTCGTCTGATTCTTTGAGGACGGGCACCCTGCTTGTCCTCTTACCCATTTGACCCTTTCAACTCACCTCACCCCCACCTCTTCAACCCCCTTTCAGCTCACCCATTTGGCGAGCGCCATTCTCTCCCCCGCGTCGTCTGATTCTTTGAGGACGGGCACCCTGCTTGTCCTCTTACCCATTTGACCCTTTCAACTCACCTCACCCCCACCTCTTCAACCCCCCTTCATCTCACCCATTTGGCGAGCGCCATTCTCTCCCCCGCGTCGTCTGATTCCTTGAGGACGGGCACCCTGCTTGTCCTCTTACCCATTTGACCCTTTCAACTCACCTCACCCCCACCTCTTCAACCCCCTTTCAGCTCACCCATTTGGCGAGCGCCATTCTCTCCCCCGCGTCGTCTGATTCCTTGAGGACGGGCACCCTGCTTGTCCTCTTACCCATTTGACCCTTTCAACTCACCTCACCCCCACCTCTTCAACCCCCTTTCAGCTCACCCATTTGGCGAGCGCCATTCTCTCCCCCGCGTCGTCTGATTCTTTGAGGACGGGCACCCTGCTTGTCCTCTTACCCATTTGACCCTTTCAACTCACCTCACCCCCACCTCTTCAACCCCCCTTCATCTCACCCATTTGGCGAGCGCCATTCTCTCCCCCGCGTTGTCTGATTCCTTGAGGACGGGCACCCTGCTTGTCCTCTTACCCATTTGACCCTTTCAACTCACCTCACCCCCACCTCTTCAACCCCCTTTCAGCTCACCCATTTGGCGAGCGCCATTCTCTCCCCCGCGTCGACTGATTCTTTGAGGACGGGCACCCTGCTTGTCCTCTTACCCATTTGACCCTTTCAACTCACCTCACCCCCACCTCTTCAACCCCCTTTCAGCTCACCCATTTGGCGAGCGCCATTCTCTCCCCCGCGTCGTCTGATTCCTTGAGGACGGGCACCCTGCTTGTCCTCTTACCCATTTGACCCTTTCAACTCACCTCACCACCACCTCTTCAACCCCCCTTCATCTCACCCATTTGGCGAGCGCCATTCTCTCCCCCGCGTCGTCTGATTCTTTGAGGACGGGCACCCTGCTTGTCCTCTTACCCATTTGACCCTTTCAACTCACCTCACCCCCACCTCTTCAACCCCCCTTCATCTCACCCATTTGGCGAGCGCCATTCTCTCCCTCGCGTCGTCTGATTCCTTGAGGACAGGCACCCTGCTTGTCCTCTTACCCATTTGACCCTTTCAACTCACCTCACCCCCACCTCTTCAACCCCCTTTCAGCTCACCCATTTGGCGAGCGCCATTCTCTCCCCCGCGTCGTCTGATTCCTTGAGGACGGGCACCCTGCTTGTCCTCTTACCCATTTGACCCTTTCAACTCACCTCACCCCCACCTCTTCAACCCCCTTTCATCTCACCCATTTGGCGAGCGCCATTCTCTCCCCCGCGTCGTCTGATTCTTTGAGGACGGGCACCCTGCTTGTCCTCTTACCCATTTGACCCTTTCAACTCACCTCACCCCCACCTCTTCAACCCCCTTTCAGCTCACCCATTTGGCGAGCGCCATTCTCTCCCCCGCGTCGTCTGATTCTTTGAGGACGGGCACCCTGCTTGTCCTCTTACCCATTTGACCCTTTCAACTCACCTCACCCCCACCTCTTCAACCCCCCTTCATCTCACCCATTTGGCGAGCGCCATTCTCTCCCCCGCGTCGTCTGATTCCTTGAGGACGGGCACCCTGCTTGTCCTCTTACCCATTTGACCCTTTCAACTCACCTCACCCCCACCTCTTCAACCCCCCTTCATCTCACCCATTTGGCGAGCGCCATTCTCTCCCCCGCGTCGTCTGATTCTTTGAGGACGGGCACCCTGCTTGTCCTCTTACCCATTTGACCCTTTCAACTCACCTCACCCCCACCTCTTCAACCCCCTTTCAGCTCACCCATTTGGCGAGCGCCATTCTCTCCCCCGCGTCGTCTGATTCTTTGAGGACGGGCACCCTGCTTGTCCTCTTACCCATTTGACCCTTTCAACTCACCTCACCCCCACCTCTTCAACCCCCTTTCAGCTCACCCATTTGGCGAGCGCCATTCTCTCCCCCGCGTCGTCTGATTCTTTGAGGACGGGCACCCTGCTTGTCCTCTTACCCATTTGACCCTTTCAACTCACCTCACCCCCACCTCTTCAACCCCCCTTCATCTCACCCATTTGGCGAGCGCCATTCTCTCCCCCGCGTCGTCTGATTCCTTGAGGACGGGCACCCTGCTTGTCCTCTTACCCATTTGACCCTTTCAACTCACCTCACCCCCACCTCTTCAACCCCCCTTCATCTCACCCATTTGGCGAGCGCCATTCTCTCCCCCGCGTCGTCTGATTCTTTGAGGACGGGCACCCTGCTTGTCCTCTTACCCATTTGACCCTTTCAACTCACCTCACCCCCACCTCTTCAACCCCCTTTCAGCTCACCCATTTGGCGAGCGCCATTCTCTCCCCCGCGTCGTCTGATTCTTTGAGGACGGGCACCCTGCTTGTCCTCTTACCCATTTGACCCTTTCAACTCACCTCACCCCCACCTCTTCAACCCCCCTTCATCTCACCCATTTGGCGAGCGCCATTCTCTCCCCCGCGTCGTCTGATTCCTTGAGGACGGGCACCCTGCTTGTCCTCTTACCCATTTGACCCTTTCAACTCACCTCACCCCCACCTCTTCAACCCCCCTTCATCTCACCCATTTGGCGAGCGCCATTCTCTCCCCCGCGTCGTCTGATTCTTTGAGGACGGGCACCCTGCTTGTCCTCTTACCCATTTGACCCTTTCAACTCACCTCACCCCCACCTCTTCAACCCCCCTTCATCTCACCCATTTGGCGAGCGCCATTCTCTCCCCCGCGTCGTCTGATTCTTTGAGGACGGGCACCCTGCTTGTCCTCTTACCCATTTGACCCTTTCAACTCACCTCACCCCCACCTCTTCAACCCCCTTTCAGCTCACCCATTTGGCGAGCGCCATTCTCTCCCCCGCGTCGTCTGATTCTTTGAGGACGGGCACCCTGCTTGTCCTCTTACCCATTTGACCCTTTCAACTCACCTCACCCCCACCTCTTCAACCCCCTTTCAGCTCACCCATTTGGCGAGCGCCATTCTCTCCCCCGCGTCGTCTGATTCTTTGAGGACGGGCACCCTGCTTGTCCTCTTACCCATTTGACCCTTTCAACTCACCTCACCCCCACCTCTTCAACCCCCCTTCATCTCACCCATTTGGCGAGCGCCATTCTCTCCCCCGCGTCGTCTGATTCCTTGAGGACGGGCACCCTGCTTGTCCTCTTACCCATTTGACCCTTTCAACTCACCTCACCCCCACCTCTTCAACCCCCTTTCAGCTCACCCATTTGGCGAGCGCCATTCTCTCCCCCGCGTCGTCTGATTCCTTGAGGACGGGCACCCTGCTTGTCCTCTTACCCATTTGACCCTTTCAACTCACCTCACCCCCACCTCTTCAACCCCCTTTCAGCTCACCCATTTGGCGAGCGCCATTCTCTCCCCCGCGTCGTCTGATTCTTTGAGGACGGGCACCCTGCTTGTCCTCTTACCCATTTGACCCTTTCAACTCACCTCACCCCCACCTCTTCAACCCCCCTTCATCTCACCCATTTGGCGAGCGCCATTCTCTCCCCCGCGTTGTCTGATTCCTTGAGGACGGGCACCCTGCTTGTCCTCTTACCCATTTGACCCTTTCAACTCACCTCACCCCCACCTCTTCAACCCCCTTTCAGCTCACCCATTTGGCGAGCGCCATTCTCTCCCCCGCGTCGACTGATTCTTTGAGGACGGGCACCCTGCTTGTCCTCTTACCCATTTGACCCTTTCAACTCACCTCACCCCCACCTCTTCAACCCCCTTTCAGCTCACCCATTTGGCGAGCGCCATTCTCTCCCCCGCGTCGTCTGATTCTTTGAGGACGGGCACCCTGCTTGTCCTCTTACCCATTTGACCCTTTCAACTCACCTCACCCCCACCTCTTCAACCCCCCTTCATCTCACCCATTTGGCGAGCGCCATTCTCTCCCCCGCGTCGTCTGATTCCTTGAGGACGGGCACCCTGCTTGTCCTCTTACCCATTTGACCCTTTCAACTCACCTCACCCCCACCTCTTCAACCCCCTTTCAGCTCACCCATTTGGCGAGCGCCATTCTCTCCCCCGCGTCGTCTGATTCTTTGAGGACGGGCACCCTGCTTGTCCTCTTACCCATTTGACCCTTTCAACTCACCTCACCCCCACCTCTTCAACCCCCCTTCATCTCACCCATTTGGCGAGCGCCATTCTCTCCCCCGCGTCGTCTGATTCCTTGAGGACGGGCACCCTGCTTGTCCTCTTACCCATTTGACCCTTTCAACTCACCTCACCCCCACCTCTTCAACCCCCCTTCATCTCACCCATTTGGCGAGCGCCATTCTCTCCCCCGCGTCGTCTGATTCCTTGAGGACGGGCACCCTGCTTGTCCTCTTACCCATTTGACCCTTTCAACTCACCTCACCCCCACCTCTTCAACCCCCTTTCAGCTCACCCATTTGGCGAGCGCCATTCTCTCCCCCGCGTCGTCTGATTCCTTGAGGACGGGCACCCTGCTTGTCCTCTTACCCATTTGACCCTTTCAACTCACCTCACCCCCACCTCTTCAACCCCCTTTCAGCTCACCCATTTGGCGAGCGCCATTCTCTCCCCCGCGTCGTCTGATTCTTTGAGGACGGGCACCCTGCTTGTCCTCTTACCCATTTGACCCTTTCAACTCACCTCACCCCCACCTCTTCAACCCCCCTTCATCTCACCCATTTGGCGAGCGCCATTCTCTCCCCCGCGTTGTCTGATTCCTTGAGGACGGGCACCCTGCTTGTCCTCTTACCCATTTGACCCTTTCAACTCACCTCACCCCCACCTCTTCAACCCCCTTTCAGCTCACCCATTTGGCGAGCGCCATTCTCTCCCCCGCGTCGACTGATTCTTTGAGGACGGGCACCCTGCTTGTCCTCTTACCCATTTGACCCTTTCAACTCACCTCACCCCCACCTCTTCAACCCCCTTTCAGCTCACCCATTTGGCGAGCGCCATTCTCTCCCCCGCGTCGTCTGATTCCTTGAGGACGGGCGCCTTGCCTGTGATGAGCTCCAGAAGCACCACTCCAAAGCTGCCACGTAGCATGCACACAAATAGAGATATGGGGACACTTGGACAAGGTACAGGGCATGGCAGTCACGTGAATTTCTTCTTATAGTAGACAGAGGATAAGAAACCCATGAGAAGTAAAACAAATGGAGAAAAATAAAAAAAAAACAAGAACAAAAGAACACCTCGTTGTCTGCATGCGTACCTGTAGACATCAGAGCGATCAGACACGATGCTGGTCTGGCAGTACTGCGGATCCAAAGAGCCCGGTGTGCCCACCACCCGCGTGTGTGTGGGAGACATGGACTCGTCGTTAATCTCCTTCACGTTGCCAAAGTCCCCTAGCTTCGGCTGGTGGGGAGGGGGGGGATGGTGGACGATAGGAGAAAGGGGGAGGAAGCGCATGAGAGGGAGAAACAACGAAGATAGGGAGAGTGGGAGACATAGACTCGTCCCTGATCTCCTTAACGTTGCCAAAGTCGCCTAGCTTCGGCTGGGAGGGGAAGTTGTACAAGGGAGGGGGAAGTTGTACAAGGGAGGGGAAAGTTGTACAAGGGAGGGGGAAGTTGTACAAGGGAGGGGGAAGTTGTACAAGGGAGGGGGAAGTTGTACAAGGGAGGGGGGAGTTGTACAAGGGAGGGGGAAGTTGTACAAGGGAGGGGGAAGTTGTACAAGGGAGGGGGAAGTTGTACAAGGGAGGGGGGAGTTGTACAAGGGAGGGGGAAGTTGTACAAGGGAGGGGGGAGTTGTACAAGGGAGGGGGAAGTTGTACAAGGGAGGGGGAAGTAAGTGCATGGAAGGGGAGACGTAGACTCGTCGCTGATGTCCTTCACATTCCCAAAGTCCCCTAGCTTCGGCTAGGGATGGAATGACAAGGTTGGGGGAAGAAGAACAGATAATGAAGTGCGGGAAGAAAGTGAGAAAAGCAACAGAGAGAACCGCGGGAGGTAAGAAAGAAAAGGAAGCAGGAAAGGCACAAAAGCGAAAGAAGAGGGAAGAGGGAGGGATCGGGAAATGTAGGGAGTGCATAAGGCTGCTGAGGAGTCAAAAAAAAAAAAAAAAAAAAAAAAAAAAACACACACACACACAAAAAAAACAAAAAAAAAAAAAAAAAAACCTTTTCACAAGCGAATCTTACATGTTTCCAGTGTACATATCGAGTGTCTCTTTCCTTTAGAAAACACTCACATGCAGGTCGTTATAAAGGAACACATTTAGAGTCTTCACATCACGGTGAATGATCGCTGGGTGCGACCCATGCAACCTCCAGCCGCTTGTCAGTCAAACCACAGCATACGAGCCTTCCCTCCCATTAACAACTCACATGCAGGTCCTTATCAAGAAACACATTTAGAGTCTTCACATCGCGGTGAATGATCGCTGGGTGCGACCCATGCAACCTCCAGCCGCTTGTCAGTCAAACCACAGCATACAAGCCTTCCCTCCCATTAACAACTCACATGCAGGTCGCTATCAAGAAACACGTTGAGGGTCTTCACATCGCGGTGAATGATGGCCGGGTGGCACCCATGCATGTACTGCAGCACCTCCGCCACCCCCAGTGCCACCTCCAGGCGCTTGTCAAACGACAGCATGCCAATCCCCCCCTTCCACCCTGCAGTCTATAACCACCTGCCCCTTAATGGACAGGTGGTAGTGTGCTGAAAATCCACCAAAGAGAACAGAGACTCACATCCAAGTCAATATCAAGGAACACGTTAAGGGTCTTCACATCGCGGTGGATAATCGCCGGGTGGCACTCATGCATGTACTGCAGCGCCTCCGCCACCCCCAGCGCAATCTCCAGGGACTTTCAACCAGACTCAGAAGCACGCGTGAGCAACTCACATGCAGGTCAATATCAAGGAACACGTTCAGGGTCTTCACATCGCGGTGGATAATCGCCGGGTGGCACCCATGCATGTACTGCAGCGCCTCCGCCACTCCCAGTGCCACCTCCAGGCGCTTGTCAAAAGACAGCATGCCGCCCGGCTTGCCTTCGATGGCCGCCTCGCCCCTGATCGGCGCGATGTGCTGGCGCAGGTTGCCGTTGGGTACAAACTCGTAGATGAGCAACAGCTCCTCTCTCTCCTCGCAGAACCCCAGCAGCCGCACCAGGTTGGGGTGGCGTAACTGGGAGACCGCGTGGATCTGAGGGGAGGAAGGGGCGGAGGGGGGGGTTGGGGGAAGAAGGTGGGGGTGGGGGGGGGGGGGGGGGGAGCGGGGGGGGGAGTGGAGAGGGGAACCGAGGGGATTAGGGGATGGTGGCAGCCTTCCCCTCTCCTCGCAGAATCCCAGCAGCCGCACCAGGTTGGGGTGGCGCAGCTGGGACACTGCGTGGATCTGAAGGGGGGGATGGAGAAGGGGGGGAGGGAGGAGGGGAGGAGGGGGAGGAAGGGGAGGGGGGGGAACAGGACAAAAGCAGGAGGGGCACAGGGGGGGAGGAAGGGGAGGGAATGAGGAGTGGAGGCATGTGGAGGAGTGATGATGCCCGCCCTGCCTCTCCCTCGATGGCCGCCTCGCCCCTGATGGGAGCGATGTGCTGGCGCAGGTTGCCGTTGGGTACAAACTCGTAGACCAGCAGCAGCTCCTCCCTCTCCTCGCAGTACCCCAGCAGCCGCACCAGGTTGGGGTGGCGCAGCTGCGACACTGCATGGATCTGAAGGGAGGAAGAGACGGAGGGGGGGGTTGGGGGAAGAAGGTAGGGGGGAGAGGAGTGGAGAGGGGAACCGAGGGGAGTAGGGGATGGTGGCAGCCCTCCCCTCTCCTCGCTGAACCCCAGCAGCTGCACCAGGTTGGCGTGCCTCAGCTGCGACACCATGTGGATCTTGAAGGGGGAAGGGGGGGAAGGGGGAGGGGAAGCATGGAGGGGGGAGGTGGGGGCGGAGATGGGCATCTGGGGCGCACCAGGTTGGCGTGCCTCAGCTGCGACACTGCATGGATCTGGAGGGGGGAGAGAGGGAGGGAGGATGAGGCGGTTAGAGAGGGGGTGGGGGGGGGGGGGGGGGGGGGGGGGGTGGATAGCATGGAGAGTGCGGGAGAAGACAGTTAGTGGAGGGGCGGCGGAATGGGGAAAACGCATTGCCGTGTTCTGAGCTGACTCAAACCACACCTCACTCACCTCTTTTTCATGGTCCTTTTGGCGAGAACCCCCCCCCTTCTCCGTTTCACTCACCTCTTCTTCCTGCGCTTCACAGCCCACAGCTGCCCGTCCGCCCCACATCCCCGGTACACCACCGCCGACCCGCCCTCGCCCATCTTGGCCTCCTCCGCCCACCCCTGTGTCACCCTCTCCCCTGTGTGGCCTTCCCTTCCTCCTCCTCACCCACCTTCAGTACGAAAATGCAAATAAGCAATCAAAAGACACCTTTCTCACCTCTTTCTCATAGTATTTTCGCCGGCTGATCCCGCCCTTCTTCCCGCGCTTCACAGCCCACAACTGCCCGTCCGCCCCACACCCCCGGTACACCACTGCCGACCCGCCCTCGCCCAGCTTCGCCTCCTCCGCCCACCCCTGCGTGGCCCTCTCCACCTCCTCGTACGGAATCGCCTTGGCTGGTTCAAGCTCTTCCAAGTCTGTGCCGTCAGGTACGGATTCGAGACGTTTGGCAAAGGATCGGCGCAGGAGGGCTTGGTGCTTCGCGCCCCTGCCTCCTGCTCCCATACCCGCCCTCCCTGCTGCTCCTGCTCCTCCTGCTCCTGTTGTTCCTGCTGCTGCTCCTCCTGCTCCTCCTGCTCCTCCTGCTCCTCCTGCTGCTGCTCCTGCTCCCTTTCCTATCCCTCCTATTATCGGCATCCTCCCCGGAAGCTCCAGCACCACTCCCCCTCCTCCGCCATCTCCCCCTCCCGCCCCTCCTCCGCCTCCCCCGGCCAACCCCCCCGATCCCCCTCCCCCGCTCCCCCCAACATCCCCCCCACTCCCCACAAACTGCCCCCGCCCCTGCTTCATCTCCAGCCTAGCCCCCCCCTCCACAGCCCACGCCAACTGCTCTCCCACCCGCCTCTCCGCCTCAAACCTCACCTCTGGGAGAGTCACAGCCATGAGAAGAGACTTATCAGAGGATCGCAGCAGCGCGTGCTGGGAGGAAGGGGCGCCTATGGAGTGCAGCACGCGTTTCACTGACACCTCGCTGGGTATGCTATCCACAGGGGACGTCCCGTTCCACGCGACAAACCAGGAGAAATCGCTCATGGAGTCGATTCGAACCGTGGCGCCGAGCGGGAAGGAGGAGGAGAAGGCGCAGGCAGCGGCAGCAGAGGAGGAAGCGGAGGAAGGGGAGGAGGAGGGGGAGGGGGAGGAGTTGAGGTTTGCCTCGCGGCGGTCGGGGAGGAAGAGGTCTCGTACGTCGTCTAACCCATCGTCCCAGAGGATAAGCTCGTCTCCCACTGCTGGAACTACTCGCGTGTGCTTTCGCACTGTCAGCCGCCCAGATACCCTGGCGCTTGTTGCAGGGGCGGTGGTGGTGGTGGGTGTGTTGGTGGTGATGGCGGTGCCTTTGGTGCCGGTCGCTGCTGCAGCGTCTGCTGAGGTGTTTGGATCAATACCTGCTGCTGTAGCGTCAATGGTACCACCGCCCTCAGTTGTACCTCCCTCTGCACTGCTTCTACCGGCACTACCGGCACTGCCACTGCTGCCACTGCTGCCATTGCTGCTCAAGCTACTCACACTGCTAATCCCCGTGCTGCTGCTGCCACCACCACTGCACTCACTACCTCCTCCTCTCCTACCCCCACCTCCCACGCAAAAAGCGCACAACCTACCAGCAACACCAGCACCAGAATCACCAGCACCACCAGTCCCACCCTCCCCAGTCACCACCTGCTTATTCTCCTGAATCACCAGCTGCATGGCTCGACCCAGCAAGGCATACTGGGCCAAGACAGGGGCGAGTGTGATCGCCACATCGTACACCGTCCGTTGGGACGCCTCCCACACTGCTTGCACCTCGTCCGTCAGATCTTCCAGCAGATCCTCCAATGGCGCGGCGGCAATGAGGTAGGACTCAACATCCCAACGGGAGGGAGAGGGGGAGAGGGAGGAGGAGGAAGGGTGGCACCCGTTGGCTGTAGCAGGGGCAGTCATACTAACAGGTTCGGCGGTGGCGCTGGCAGGTTCGGCAGCAGCGGCAGCAGGTTCGGGCGTGGATCGCAAGGCTTGGGAGTCGAGTTCGGCTCGGAGAGCAAAGGTGCGAAAGGCAAAGAGAGGCACCCTGCGAGGGTCGCCCTGTGTTCGGGTGGTGGGGGTTGGGGGGAGGGGGTGGAGGGGAAGAGAGGAAAGATGGGCTGAGCAGTCGAGTTTGGCTCGGAGAGCAAAGGTGCGGAGCGCAAAGAGAGGCACCCTGCGAGGGTCGCCCTGTGAAGGGGGGGTTAGGGAGAGGGGGGTGTGGGTGGGCGGGGTTGGGGGGTTTGGGGGAAGTGGAGGGATGGGGGGAATAGGGAGAGGACGACAGGCTAAGCAGTAGAGTTGGGCAAGGCGAGCAAAGGTGTGGAAGGCAAAGAGAGGCACCCTGCGAGGGTCGCCCGGAGGGTTGGGTTGGGGGGTGTGTGTGTGAGACGGGGGTGAGCCTTAGGGGAGAGGGAAGAGGGGAGCGGGAGGTGAAGAGGAAAGGGACTGTGAGGGGGAACTGTGACGGGCAACTGGGGGGAGAAACTTTGATAGGAAGTAAAGGAATTTCGTGTGGAAAAATCCTCCCCCCCCCCTCTCCTCTCTCCCCTTTCCCCTCTCCCCTCTCCTCTCTCCCCTCTCCCTCCCTCACCACCCTCCCCTGCCCTCTCACCTTGGAAACTGTATCAATCATCATCATGGCAGCTCGGAACCCCATGGCCTTGTCGTACAGGTCTAGCCACAGCTGCTGTGCCTTGTTTGGCTATGGGAATGGAGAACAGACAGGGGTCTCCAGCTTATCATACAGGTCTAGCCACAGGTGCTGTGCCTTGTTTGGGTGCAGCTGGGATGGTTTGGAGAGGAGGGGAAACGGGAGAGATGCTGAAGGGAGAAGCGGAGGAGGAGCATATAAAAGAGAGAAGCGATGGAGAAAGGGTGAGAGGATGCAAGCAGTATACCAGGCGGAAAGGCAGCATTCATGCATGCTAACCATTCAAACGTGACTCCAACAGCGCAAGCATACCACGTGAATGGGGGAGCATGCATGAGAGCAGCACAGCAGGCAGACAGAGCGACCCTTTTTAGTCGACTCAAACACCACCCTACCGTGTGGAGCGGCAGCAGGTATGTGAGCGGCAGCATGTATGTGAGCGGCAGCATGTATGTGAGCGGCAGCATGTATGTGAGCGGCAGCATGTATGTGAGCGGCAGCATGTATGTGAGCGGCAGCATGTATGTGAGCGGGGGGGCAGCATGTATGTGAGCGGCAGCATGTATGTGAGCGGCAGCATGTATGTGAGCGGCAGCATGTATGGTGAGCGGCAGCATGTATGTAATGTGAGGCCGGCAGCAATGTATGTGAGCGGCAGCATGTAGGTAGCCAGCATGTATGTGACGGGCAGCATGTATGTGAGGCGGCAGCATGTATGTGAGCGCAGCAGTATGTGAGCGGCCAGCAGAATGTATGTGAGCGCAGCTGTAATGTGAGCGCAGCATGTATGTGACGCAGCATGTATTGAGCGGCGGCATGTAGTGTGAGCGGCAGCATGTATGTGAGCCGGCAGCATGTATTGTGAGCGGCAGCATGTATGTGAGCGGCAGCATGTATGTGAGCGGCAGCATGTATGTGAGCGGCAGCATGTATGTGAGCGGCAGCATGTATGTGAGCGGCAGCATGTATGTGAGCGGCAGCATGTATGTGAGCGGCAGCATGTATGTGAGCGGCAGCATGTATGTGAGCGGCAGCATGTATGTGAGCGGCAGCATGTATGTGAGCGGCAGCATGTATGTGAGCGGCAGCATGTATGTGAGCGGCAGCATGTATGTGAGCGGCAGCATGTATGTGAGCGGCAGCATGTATGTGAGCGGCAGCATGTATGTGAGCGGCAGCATGTATGTGAGCGGCAGCATGTATGTGAGCGGCAGCATGTATGTGAGCGGCAGCATGTATGTGAGCGGCAGCATGTATGTGAGCGGCAGCATGTATGTGAGCGGCAGCATGTATGTGAGCGGCAGCATGTATGTGAGCGGCAGCATGTATGTGAGCGGCAGCATGTATGTGAGCGGCAGCATGTATGTGAGCGGCAGCATGTATGTGAGCGGCAGCATGTATGTGAGCCGGCAGCATGTATGTGAGCGCAGCATGTATGTGAGCGGGCCAAAAGGGCATGTATGTGAGCGGCAGCATGTATGTGAGCGGCCAGCATGTATCGTTGAGCCGCAGCCTGTATTGTGAGCGGCCAGCATGTATGTGAGCGGCAGCATTGTATGTGAGCGGCAGCATGTATGTGAGCGGCAGCTGTATGTGACGCGCAGGGCAGCCATGTACTGGTGAGCGGCCGCATGTATGCTGAGCGGCAGCATGTATGTGAGCCAGCAGCATGTATGTGAGCGGCAGCATCGTATAGTTGAGCGGCAGGCATTGTATCTTGTGAGCCGGCAGCATGTATGGTGATCTGGCAGGCATGTTATGTGAGCCGGCAGCATGTATTGTGAGCGGCAGCATGTATGTGAGCCGGCAGCATGTATGTGAGCGGGTGGGCAGCATGTATGTGAGCGGCAGCATGTATGTGAGCGGCCAGCAGTATGGGCTATGTGATCAGGCAGCATGTATGTGAGCGGCCAGAATGTATGTGAGCGGCAGCCAATGTATGTGCGCGGCAGGCATGTATGTGAGCGGCAGCATGTCTGGGGCATATGTGAGCAGGCCGCATGTATTGTGAGCCGGCAGCATGTATGTGAGCGGCAGCATGTATTGTGAGCGGCAGCATGTATGTGAGCGGCAGCATGTATGTGAGCGGCAGCATGTATGTGAGCGGCAGCATGTATGTGAGCGGCAGCATGTATGTGAGCGGCAGCATGTATGTGAGCGGCAGCATGTATGTGAGCGGCAGCATGTATGTGAGCGGCAGCATGTATGTGAGCGGCAGCATGTATGTGAGCGGCAGCATGTATGTGAGCGGCAGCATGTATGTGAGCGGCAGCATGTATGTGAGCGGCAGCATGTATGTGAGCGGCAGCATGTATGTGAGCGGCAGCATGTATGTGAGCGGCAGCATGTATGTGAGCGGCAGCATGTATGTGAGCGGCAGCATGTATGTGAGCGGCAGCATGTATGTGAGCGGCAGCATGTATGTGAGCGGCAGCATGTATGTGAGCGGCAGCATGTATGTGAGCGGCAGCATGTATGTGAGCGGCAGCATGTATGTGAGCGGCAGCATGTATGTGAGCGGCAGCATGTATGTGAGCGGCAGCATGTATGTGAGCGGCAGCATGTATGTGAGCGGCAGCATGTATGTGAGCGGCAGCATGTATGTGAGCGGCAGCATGTATGTGAGCGGCAGCATGTATGTGAGCGGCAGCATGTATGTGAGCGGCAGCATGTATGTGAGCGGCAGCATGTATGTGAGCGGCAGCATGTATGTGAGCGGCAGCATGTATGTGAGCGGCAGCATGTATGTGAGCGGCAGCATGTATGTGAGCGGCAGCATGTATGTGAGCGGCAGCATGTATGTGAGCGGCAGCATGTATGTGAGCGGCAGCATGTATGTGAGCGGCAGCATGTATGTGAGCGGCAGCATGTATGTGAGCGGCAGCATGTATGTGAGCGGCAGCATGTATGTGAGCGGCAGCATGTATGTGAGCGGCAGCATGTATGTGAGCGGCAGCATGTATGTGAGCGGCAGCATGTATGTGAGCGGCAGCATGTATGTGAGCGGCAGCATGTATGTGAGCGGCAGCATGTATGTGAGCGGCAGCATGTATGTGAGCGGCAGCATGTATGTGAGCGGCAGCATGTATGTGAGCGGCAGCATGTATGTGAGCGGCAGCATGTATGTGAGCGGCAGCATGTATGTGAGCGGCAGCATGTATGTGAGCGGCAGCATGTATGTGAGCGGGCAGCATGTATGTGAGCGGCAGCATGTATGTGAGCGGCAGCATGTATGTGAGGCGGCAGCATGTATGTGAGCGGCAGCATGTATGTGAGCGGCAGCATGTATGTGAGCGGCAGCATGTATGTGAGCGGCAGCATGTATGTGAGCGGCAGCATGTATGTGAGCGGCAGCATGTATGTGTCGCGTGTCAGCATGTATGTGAGCGGCAGCATGTATGTGAGCGGCAGCATGTTATGTGAGCGCAGCATGTATGTGAGCGGCAGCATGTATGTGAGCGCAGCATGTATGTGAGCGGCAGCATGTATGTGAGCGCAGCATGTAGGTGAGCGGCAGCATGTATGTGAGCGGCAGCATGTATGTGAGCGGCAGCATGTATGTGAGCGGCAGCATGTATGTGAGCGGCAGCATGTATGTGAGCGGCAGCATGTATGTGAGCGGCAGCATGTATGTGAGCGGCAGAGCATGTATGTGAGCGGCAGCATGTATGTAGCGGCAGCATGTATGTGAGCGGCAGCAATGTATGTGAAGCGGCAGCATGTATGTGAGCGGCAGCATGTATGTGAGCGGCAGCATGTATGTGAGCGGCAGCTATGTATGTGAGCGTCAGCATGTATGTGAGCGGCAGCATGTATGTGAGCGGCAGCATGTATGTGAGCGGCAGCATGTATTGAGCGGCAGCATGTATGTGAGCGGCAGCATGTATGTGAGCGGCAGCATGTATGTGAGCGGCAGCATGTATGTGAGCGGCAGCATGTATGTGAGCGGCAGCATGTATGTGAGCGGCAGCATGTATGTGAGCGGCAGCATGTATGTGAGCGGCAGCATGTATGTGAGCGGCAGCATGTATGTGAGGCGGCAGCATGTATGTGAGCGGCAGCATGTATGTGAGCGGCAGCATGTATGTGAGCGGCAGCATGTATGTGAGCGGCAGCAATGTATGTGAGCGGCAGCATGTATGTGAGCGGCAGCATGTATGTGAGCGGCAGCATGTATGTGAGCGAGCAGCATGTATGTGAGCGGCAAGCATGTATGTGAGCGGCAGCATGTATGTGAGCGGCAGCATGTATGTGAGCGGCAGCATGTATGTGAGCGGCAGCATGTATGTGAGCGGCAGCATGTATGTGAGCGGCAGCATGTATGTGAGCGGCAGCATGTATGTGAGCGGCAGCATGTATGTTGAGCGGCAGCATGTATGTGAGCGGCAGCATGTATGTGAGCGGCAGCATGTATGTGAGCGGCAGCATGTATGTGAGCGGCAGCATGTATGTGAGCGGCAGCATGTATGTGAGCGGCAGCATGTATGTGAGCGGCAGCATGTATGTGAGCGGCAGCATGTATGTGAGCGCAGCATGTATGTGAGCGGCAGCATGTATGTGAGCGGCAGCATGTATGTGAGCGGCAGCATGTATGTGAGCGGCAGCATGTATGTGAGCGGCAGCATGTATGTGAGCGGCAGCATGTATGTGAGCGGCAGCATGTATGTGAGCGGCAGCATGTATGTGAGCGCAGCATGTATGTGAGCGGCAGCATGTATGTGAGCGGCAGCATGTATGTGAGCGGCAGCATGTATGTGAGCGGCAGCATGTATGTGAGCGGCAGCATGTATGTGAGCGGCAGCATGGTATGTGGACGGCAGCATGTATGTGAGCGCAGCATGTATGTGAGCGGCAGCATGTATGTGAGCGGCAGCATGTATGTGAGCGGCAGCATGTATGTGAGCGGCAGCATGTATGTGAGCGGCAGCATGTATGTGAGCGGCAGCATGTATGTGAGCGGCAGCATGTATGTGAGCGGCAGCATGTAT